AAGACAACGGTTTGTGGTGACAGGAGCTACTCGAACATTTCTTTCAGTTGCTTTTGGCCACAGGAAGTGATGCGATGCGTGGAGAGGAAATTAAAAGATTCAAAGTTGGATTTGTGTCTATTGGGCGCGTCTCACAGGAAATCTGTCCACAGCTCCAATTTATAGGCGAGCAGAACAGGAAGGAGTAGATTTACCCCAGAACACAGACTGAAACGACTAACATCAGCACTTTATATCCCAGAAAAGCAATAAAGCTTTATTCTAATAGTTAATCTCATGCACACATTGGCCGTGTGCAATGTGCTTTTCTCCAAAACTTTGACAGTTTCAGCTTGAACTAAGAGTCACTTCCTCTTATCTGAGCGGTCTGGCACAGTTTTTCACCCAGTTAGTCTTTTATTCATCCTCCATTTTCTTTAAACAACCACCGGTGACCCCTTCTCACCCCATCTCCCTTATCAGCACTGAGCACACGCACAGCAGTGTGCCTCTGCAAGGACGCAAAGGTCTTTCCTCAATGCAACGCCTCGATGGCTCTTTATCTACCGAGCAGCGTCTGGAGTCTCCAGCCTGGCTCTGGAGCTGAATACATATTACCAAGCCGGCGTCTCCACAGCGCAGCTGTCATAAGCTGGAGGTGAAAACACAAGGGATGCATGAGGCTTGAAAATACAAAACTGGGTCCATTCTGCAGCAGAAAGCGAAGGTGACATTTCCATCTTGGGTGAAACTGAAAGCCTGATCAGAGGATCTGTGCAACACTTCAAAAAGAGGAGGACAAAAAAATTTAAAAAAATCACAGATTCACTTTCAGATTGTTTTGTGCAAGCTTCTGCTCAACAGAATGGGCTTCATTTATGAGTATTTTATGATAGTATCTGTGGTGGTTCAACTGAATAAGTTTGTGCACATAGGACACATTAATTTTAAATACCAAGAGGTGTCTTTGCAGTTTCAATCAATCACAGGAGTGTGAGGATGGCCTACTTCCTACAAAATGGGGTTCAATGATGAAGACACTGACAGCAGGAGATGATTTATAGCCTGGTGCTGCAGAATCCTGGAACTATGTTCTCTGCACACATTCCCAAACATGTGAACCATGCTCTAGGGTGACCTACAGTAGATTAAATGCACATTACTAGGCATGCACACAGGGGAGTGTTTTGACATTAGGAGAAATAAAGAGTAATGTGACTTAAAGCATGAAATTGAACTAGCAGGGAAGGTTGGATCCACTGCAAGCAGAAACAAACTCCCATTTTTACCTCTTTGCCTTCATGCTGCCCCCCCTTCTAGCCGCCCTGCCGTCTTGTCTTCCCGGACGCTCGCCCTCTCCTGTGGACGATTTCCTGGCCAACTTTGCATCTCTTCTCCGATCATCGGACAGCCGGGGAGAGGATCTGTGGTCCTCCGAGTCCCGATCCGCTCCAACTTCTTTCAACAGCGGATCCTCCGCGCCGCCGTTCCCCCCCAAGAAGTAAAGAAGTAGAAAAAGTCCCAAACACAGGGCGATCAGGAGTACTCTGCAGTGGATCCGCATGGTGAGAGCGGCTCGGTGCGGCATCGGCCGGGCTCATGTCTGCTGCGGAGGGAGAGCGGCCAGGGATGGCATTTTCTTACCGCTCCCCGCTCGCACTTTTCGGCGGATGATGATGGAGAGCGGTTCCTCTCCGTCCATGGAGGGTTTACACCGAGGAGGAGGGGTTTCCTCAGCTTTACCGTAATGCTCCATGTATAGCACCCCGCAAAGTTATGACTCACATTTCAGTACATGATGATCTTAAACTTCCGTTACTTTTATTTATATTTAATGCGATCTAGAGTGATATCCTTCAGATTTTTCTAAGTAAGAAATTTAAAATAAAATCAAATATGATGTTTTTTAACTATCAAAGCTGTTTGTGAATAGCAAACATAAGGTATCTTATCTTTTATATTATTATATATGTGTGTGTGTGTATATATATATATATATATATATATATATATATATATATATATATATATATATATATATATATATATATATATATATATATATATATATATATATATATATATATTTATTTATATTAGGAAAATATATGAACTAAAAACTGTAATCACAATTTTTTCCTGCCTAAAACAATAGAAAAAAAAATCACCCTTAAAGACGCATTACTTTCAAAAATGAAATTAAAGTTCTGAAACATGCTTGTTAAAAAAAAACAAAACAGTTTTACAACAAGCAAATGAAAACACAATGAGAAAAGAGAGTGAAGACTTCCTCCAAATAGCTCATTTCCCCTGACATTTTTCTCCCTAAGTTCATATCTGTAGTCAGTCATAGAATGTTTGAAAAACTTAATGGATCCAGATGATCATCACCAAAATATAACAATTTGTTCCCGGTAACAACATGCACGCTCTTTGAAAAATTCAGCAAAATTCAATCCAGAACTTTTTAAGTTATTTCAAAAACAGACAGACACAGAAACCAACGGCAATGAAAACCTGACCTCACTGGCAAAGGTCACCTTTTTGCTGCAAGTCAACAAAAGGATGAACTGATGTGTGGAAAATTCTGATTTTTCAAAAAATTAATAAATACATTTTTATAAATTATTAGAGCTATTATTTTTCTTACTAGAAATTGAGGAATTAGCAATGCAAAGTGTTGCAAATGGACATAATTTATATGCCACTTTTCTAGTAATGGTGACCTCACCCAATTTTGTTTCATCCATGCACATATTCATAAATCAATAAGCAGACAGGTAACTTGGGGTTAATTGTGTTGGTGTTGTCAAACCATAGGTTTTAAGATTACAAGATGACCTCTATTATTAATATTCTGTTTTATATGTAAATAAATCTAGGAATAGAATAATGCCTCCTGGTGCCAATCACCTTAAAGTCAGGTGTTGTGGCCTATCTTTCTTTATCAAATATGATCCCATTTCAAAGGAAATTCTACCAATGGTTTATTCTGATAATATTCATCTAAGCATGGAGAGGGATGGAGATCCATTCATGGCATACAAAGGAAAGGCAACGGATTCCATTACAATTAACTCTCTGATTTTATAACATACTGCATTCCTTGTCTATATGATGCTGTGTCTTACTCAGATGTGAAGGTCACCTAAACATTGAAGCTATTTAAAGAAAAATCCCCACAGAAAGCCAAAGCTGCAGTCAGGGGCGGAGCAAGATGGGAGGCTAGGGGTGGCCCTGGCCCCCCTTGGCCAAACACTGACCACCCATACTATTTTTTTTTTCCTCTAATACAGATGTTGGCAGCAGTAATCCTCTCAAGTGGAATATTCAAGACGTTAAAATTTTTTATATATTAACAATGTGGTTAATTATCCACAGCAATACACTAACATTAATGATCATAAGTACAGAATTCATGCTCTTTTCAGAACTAGATTTTGTGTTTTATGGGGTAAAGAGAAAATCGTGTCTTTGCAAGTCATCTAAGAGACTTCAGTGAAATTACTGATAAATAACTATTTTAATAAAACATATTAAATAGTGTATTTATGTAGATATTAGTACTTGTAAATATCAATTTTATGCTGAATGATTATTAATAAAAGTAGGTAAATAATGACAACGGAAAAGATGTTATCCAAAAACTCAAACCTGAAAGAATTGTATCCACTATACCTTTTATCTAGAAAGCACAGATGTTTAAATATTTATGCATCTATTTGTCAGCAAAGGTAGTAGGAAAGTATAGTTTGTCTTTATTTAGCTAATAGGGATGTTGTGCTCGATAATTTTCTTGTTGTAAAAGTGTAGATTCAACCTGAGGTTCTGGCGCCTATTCACTTTCAGCCACCCCTCAGTGTACATTGGTTATTGCCTGGCCACCCTTATAAAAAGTTTCTGGCTACAGTTTGAGGATCTTCCTGCAGCAGCTATAGACCCAATGGTGTAACCATACAACAATGGTCCCATAAGCAACATTATCTGGATGGGCCCCATATGAAGTACAACACTCTGGATTACCCATAATTCCAAGTTGTAATTTAAAAAATAGAATACTCAAATACATTGTTCTTTTAGGATCTTTATTGTTGTTTGAAACATAAATATAGGAGTGTGTTTTTTACCAACCGTCTAATGAACTACAGTATACACAGTTGTTAACATAGTAATTAAAAGTACCACTGTCTGCTTTGCTATTGGTGTTTAAAGAGCATGTTGAAATCTGCCAGGTGTTGGGGTATAAATACGGTCTGGTCAGTCACTTACTTTAAAATCAGGTGGGTTTTAAGAGGAATTTTTTGCACCATTACTGTGTTCTAGTCCAGAATTGTGAAGGGGGCCAACCAGGTGTCAGTGACGGGGCCCCTAAGCAACTGCAGTCTCTGCTTATTGTGTAGACCAAATCTACTGTGACCATTGAGATCTAGATTTTAACTTGTAAGCATTATTTGTGCTGTCAGACTGGTGGCATTTAATAAACTTCTTTATATCTGGCAGTAATCAGGACTGGGTGTGGGAAAAAAAGTCTGAAATCATCAAGTTAAACAAATGATAACGATTTAAAAGTGGTAGTTTTGGATAATGAATAAGACTGTGATTGTTAAATATTAATCATATTAATATTTCAACATTAATCATCTTTCCTTTTTTAAATGGTTCTTATGTTAAGGTGAAGGACGGCACACTTTTTGCTAAAACTTGAATCTGTTGTTTTGTATTCGGGTCGCAGAATACCCATATTGGTGATAAAGTGGATTTTCCGACTTTTCTGACATTTATCAAATTTGAACCAGTCACTGTATCTTAAAATTCAACACGTTCAATCTGAAGTGTTTATTTGGACACTGTTAACAAAATAAATCGGCTTTTCTCTTTTTTTATTTTGCTCCGGCAAATTCTAACCGCCCGTTTTCACTAAACATTACGCTAAAGGGATGGTAGATCTAACAGCGTTCAGAGCCTCCTGGTAAAGCTCAGACTGTTTGGGGTAAGTTAGTTTCTTTCAGATTCTCATTTGTTTTTAAAAATGCTCTAAATCAGCTAGTCTGTTTCACACTGAGCAGATCAGAGAGCCGCTATCTGTTGCTACTCTGAGACCCACGAGGAGACACGTCACGCGTTAGCTTGCTCCAGCCTGCAGCAGCTAGCTAACTGTAAACAGAACTCCCTTTGAAAACGCTCTATTTTACAAAACCCGTGTACCCGCTTCAAAAGGGTTCGTTTTGCGGTCAAATGTTAGCGAATTTCCAATTTTCGGTGTCGATGTAGGATTTCGGGTACAGTACAATTATATTTATAGCAAGTTTATTCCAATTTTTCTTTATTTTAAAAAGTAATTTTAAGCCTCAGCATCTGGTGCGCCTAGTGAACCGTAATTGTTATGATTAAATTAGGCTCTTTTCTTTCAAGAACACTTGTGCAGCTTAAATATGTTGGCAATTAAAAGTTTGGTTACTTGTTAAACAAACACGGAAAACATACTCCATGTTATAAATATAGAGCAGTTATAAATGTTGTGAGAAAGTAAGCCAGCCTCACTCAGAAGGTTTAGCACTTCTCAATTTAAAGCGCTGCTGTGCCACACATGTGTTTTAGTTTATAATTTTAACTGTCACAGACACGTGTCTGCTGCCGCCACATTATAAGAACCTGTCCCCTCCAGCAGGGGGCGTGCTGTAGTCAGCTGACAGCTGGAACAACAGTTTGGTGCCTTCATTTGAAATGCACACCATCACCACAAACTGATTACTCTTACTGTCCTTTAACCTGCAGGTCTTTATCATATGATAATTTATCATGATCACCCCTGCGTTTGACCTCAGCCAGGATCCAGATTATCTGACCATCTGCATCAGAGCTCCATACACCAGAACGTCAGAGTTTGATCTGTTCATCGACGGCACTGATTTCAAGTTCTATGCAAAGCCCTACTTTCTCAGGTGAGTTCATTACTTTCACTTGGCTGCAGCTATGATAGTTTTAAGCTTGCTTTTTTTTTGTTATCTTGTTTTAATATCTAATCTGTTATTGTTAGGTTAAGTCTTCCTGGAAGAATCATAGAAGATGGGAAGGAAATGGCCACATTTGACATTGATAAAGGTGAGTTGGATCCAGGCTCGGACTAATAATCTGTGATACCGGCTCTGGTGGGGGCCGATCCTAATTTCAGCGTGTGAGGGCCAACCCTCCTTAAATCATACCGGCCCCAACACTTACTCTCTAGCTTAAGCTCCTACCTGAGACCGTAAACAACCCAAAGAGCTCAAGAAGTAATACAATTTTAACTACTTAAATGATGCATGCAGTATATATAGCCCTTCCTTGTCATGCACATTGTGATGGTTGGTATATGGTGTAATTTTCTATTTCTTCAAACTGTAAAATCCTTGCAACAAACTAATTTATAATAAAACCAAATTGCTTTCTTTAAACCAAACTACGACGTTCCTCTTATATTTGGTGAATTTATGTTTGAATATTTTGCAAAAATATGTTTTGCATCTGTTTACATTATTCCATTTCATTGCCCACATGCCACCTAGACTGGCAGTGAATGCTTAGACACCGCTGAGCTTTCATGTATTCATTCTTGAAGAACTTCCTAGTATGTGTGACCTAGTACATGTAAGTGCGTGTCTGGCTGGCTTCATGCAAGTGTGGACGTTATGCTGCAGCAGTCACAGTCGCGTCCGTGTTAATAACCAAAGCCAGTAAAACTGCATTATAGAAGTCTTGGTGATGGTCGGTTAGGGCTGAAAATTGTTCCCAGTCTGAACCTGGTTGGATCATTATTTCAAGGGCAAATTTCAGTCATAAAAATCATGTAAATCAAATTTGTTTCTAGTTTGTTATGAAAAATCTTTCTGTTTCAGCTTTTCTAACACTCCAGCAGAGATTTAGACATTTACTGTATTTCTTTTGATCATTAGGAGTCCTAGATTTTCAGTAGGATTGGCCTTCCTAAGCATTTTCAGCAGATAATTATTTAGCACCATTATGGTCCTAAACTCCACATTTTAAGTGGCTGTTTTGATATTTAATAGCTTGACTCAATATGTTTATGATATTTAAAATATATTTCTTCATAGTCAAAATAATACAAATGATGACCTGTATATTAGGAATATGGAGATCGGAAATTATTTTCTGGACATCCATAATGTTTATTCTAGATATGAAGAATGTAATTTAGTTTCAAAGTCATGGTACATGACGGGAATCCTTAAAGCTCATTTCACCATTGTTAGTTACAGTCCAACAAGAAATTTGGACAAATCTTTTGCAGTTTTTAACGATTGATCCAAGGGGAATCTTTAGCCTATGCTTCAATCAACCAGCCACTCTGAATCGGCTAGTTTGTTCATTTATTTAATGGGCCCCTGAAACCATCTGTAATGCTGCAATGAGTACTACCCCCAGGCTGTCTCTTGTATTTGTTCTTTGGCTAATAGTTCATTGGGGCATGTCCTCTAACCACACAAATAACAAGAATTATCACAACTAACTTGGTTTTATTAAGTTGCTCTTATGGCTTTTGTACAATAACATTTTCCTTTTCTCACAGAGCCCGTTTTACCAGAGTGTCAGCATATCTGCTGCTAACAAACTGTCTGTATGAGCCTGCAATGTTTGCCAATAAAGCTCTGCTAATGGGTGGCCTTGTTTAGACTTCTAATGAGCAATCATTAAGATCCCTCTTCGAGGCTCTCTATTCTTAAGCTATTTGTTATTTTCCCTTGCAAAGTGGTTTAAGCTCCAACACTTGGGTGCATTGAAATTTTTATGAGGTCTTGAGGCGACCACTAGATTAGCTCTGCGGTGGGGCAAAATGATTTAAGTCATCAATCCTGTATAGTCTTTATAGTTATATAAGCTGTCTTTAAAGCAGCCTCTGTTTTTAAAGTAATTAGAAAGAAAGAACTTTAGGATTCTTAGGTTTACCCTACATTTAAAGAGGATTTTTGTGAATTTTTGAAAAGAACAGTCCTCGCCACCTTAAAAAAAAAATGCACATGCACAACCCTGTACCCTCTCACGAGATGGAACGCCTGTTTAAACGTGTGCGAGAGCATGCACAAGCCCATTTCTCCTCATGCGAGCTCTGTTTAAAAGTTCTTGTTTACATCGCTCATACAAGCTTACTTTGCAAAAGAAGATTTGCAATTTTTCCACTATGTCAGACTCGCCCCCGGTAAGTAAAAATGCGGATGAGCACGGAGGACGTGTTAAAACTGACTTACTCTAATAAGCTGGGTTCAGTTGGCCAAGTCTAGTTAGCATCTTCGTCCTAAAGCTGATTTGCGCTAAGTTGGAGCCGGTAAACATAGCCAGGTTTTTAACCAGGGATTGATGTGAATATCTTAAACTCTAGCTCCTGCCTCCAGTTTCCATCTCCTCTCCCAGCTCCTTTCCAGGTTCGGCAGGGGGCTCCAGGCTGCTGTGCTGAATCCAAACAGCCTTCTGCCTTACAGATGTCATTCATATGAAAGAGGCTGCTCAAATTAGGACTACAGCCTTTATGGAAAAAAACTACAAGTTACACAAACATATTCAACAGCTGAAGCTGTCCATGATTAAACCAAAACCTAATGATGGTGATGACATTAGGTGTTCAGAACGATACATGAACGATACAGATAGTGTAATAGATTGATGGTGATGCCTTTGCCTTTCTCAAAAATGTAAATGGCCTTTCTGGATCCTGCTGACCTCCTCCTCCTTCAGTACAAGGGGAAAAATTAAAAGTTAAAAGCAGGTCATGGTTCTAAAAGTGTAACTTAAATTTCCAGACTGAAACTAGACTAAAATGAGAAAGTATTTGCATAAATGTTCGCTGAAATAATTTTCATTTTCATAAAAAAAAAACAACAACAAAGAATAACATTTATTTACAATGCTTTTATAGTTGCCAGGGGTTGCATTTCAAATTTAATTTGAATATATTTCCGGAAATAGTGTTTCTGATTAAAGATGAGACAATTCAGACAATAAATGTATCTGCAATGGCCTGCCATTCTTTGCCCTGGTTATATTGATTAAAAAAAGTGTTTCCTAAGAGGTTTTGACGAACGAAACGCTGTAGTTTCGACATAGTTAATTAATAAACCCTTGGTCAATTAGTTGGACCTGTGGAGGCGTCCTTTGGAAACCTAGTACTCACAGCCTGACATGTTTTGCATTACCTTAGTTAGAATTGGCTTTTATCAGCAATATTATACTGAATGAAAAGTTCTGGTTCTACTGGTGGGCCTAACTCACAGGTGTCCCCCGTTTTTATTTTTGTAAATTACAAACTTACAATCTGGTCAGCATAGCATTTATTTGAAGCCCACTTTTATAAGAACTTGGTTTAAAAAGAAGTGTTTTTGGTTAAAGTGTCTCAATGAGTGTAATTTTCAGTATGTTCTGGTAAATGTCCAAATAGAAGTAAAAATAAAGTCCAAATAAAAAGTGACGGCATCAAAATCATCCAGGCTTGGCCCTGGTTCTTATCAGATCTTCCATTGTGTTATAATGAAGGGAAGCTTCAGTGTCTGATGTGATCTCTGTAGAGATGAAAGCAGGAGAATTAAATAGGACTATTATATTAGTAAAAGTAGTAAAGAGATTGAATACGGCAGTAAATTATTATATATTATAACTTCTTTTTTTTCTGCATGATCTTCAGTTAAGAAGAAAAATGAAGCTCGATAAAGAAATGCCATGTCGATTGAATAAGAATAATTCTAATGTTTCTGCTCAGGTGTGTGTCAGGTCCAGGTCTACTGGTTACTGTAATGGGACAGAACTTTTCTTATAGCTCAAACTGTTTTTGTTTAAAAAAAAAAAAAAAACTAACATGGCAGTGAGTTTATTGGAGCTAGGCTCTCATCTTCAGCTCCAACTGTTATTTAAGGAAGGTTTTATGTTGTTTTTTGTTTGTCTGCTTGTTTCTAAGTTGAACCTTCCTGTTATCTCTAGAAACTCTTGTTCTCTCATCCCTGTGCCTCCCTTTACCTTAAAACCTTAACCTCACTGATAATGGAATAAGCACATTTAAGCCTTGTTTTGTCAAGGTAGCTCTTCATCAAGTCAAACTGAAATGTTTTGCACCTTGTTGAATCACATTCAAAGAACATTTTATGTTCTTTAACTTAAGGTTGACAAGTAATGTTGCAGAAAATGTGCTTAAAGAAGTGAATCCTGGATGTTTGGCTCGGTTATACAGTAGTTATGTAATGTTTATGTGTCCTGCTCTGTTATCCTTGCTGTAGGGGTTTTCACACTTAAGGTCCCCAAGGAAACTCCAGGGGAGCATTTCGAAGGGCTTCAAATGCTCACCAGTCTGCTGGCTCCAAAAGGCTCACGATCAGCAAAGCCTCTGGTGGAGGACGTGAGCGGCGGTGAGTCCCAGAACTTATCTTTACGTTTGCTGAGTTATTAGTCGTCGCCTTTGGGGGAAGGATTGAACATGACTCCTCCTTAATCTGTCAAAGAAGGCAGTGAAACCGCAGCAAATGGTGAAGAGGAAGAGGATGAAGAGGAGTTTGACTGGCAACTTGAACAGGAGGCCTACTTGGAGCGATCCGAAGAGGAGATGGGGGCTCTGCAGAAATACGGCTTTGGTAATCAAAGGTCCGGAGTATTTTCGCGGTTACAGGTAGGCTCTGTGGGGATGGCGACCCTGTATAATCGACCTACTGTAGGTTTGAGTAAAAATATTCACCGAGTCCCTCTGAACACCTTAAAGGAGGAACTCGGGGATGTGATAGACCTGAAGAACCCAGAGGGAACATCTGCGTCCGAGAGGCGTCGGGCTCGGCTGGAGGCAGAGGCATCAGCTTTCTCCTCTGACCATTACTTGTGAGTAAAGCTCATTAATCCCCACATGCTAGACTTCCTGCTTCCTTCTGCTAAGACCTCTATCATTGCAGAGCTGATTTGTTTGAAGACGATGAGATAAATTGTCTGCTGAAATTTACACCGTGGTGGTCAAAGCTGAGTCCATCTGCAGATCCAGAGGGAGAATCTGGTGAGTTTATAGCTACGATCTGTGCAAAGGTTTGTTTATTAATTCATTTTGACCCTACGTGGTGTTAAGGCCAATCCAAATCTTTTTTATAAAAGATAACCTCTTCAAAAAGACTCTAGCACACTGCTGAAAAGGTTTACTGCTAAACCAAGTCTCTCCTCCATCTTACCTGAGTGAAGAAGAAGTATAACAATAGTTAAATAGCTGAAATAACCAAGAAGGACAGTGTTTGTTTGGTAGTTAAATGGATAATGGACGTATGAGATGAATTTAAAGCGATTCCAATTGAATGTTGAGTTGACAAGTCTTCACTGGGGCCCTGAGAACCTCCAGTTGTCACTATGTCAGCTTGTGTTTCCTAAAGTTGGGCTAACACTGTGCGATTTTTTTATTTTTTTATTTTGTCCTTTTCAGGCCGACTTTCCAGTCTTGTGAGAATTTTTCGATCGGGCTAACTTTCAGCCTGATTATGCGTCATTTAGTGTACAGGGGGTAAAGAGGGGCGATCAGCCTCTCACAACCATCAGGAATCGTGAGATCAGGGGTAAATCAAACATGTTTGATTTTCAGTCAACCGTTGTGGGCAAAACGCTCAGAGGGCAAGATTCTTCTTCTTCTTCCTCTCAGATCAAAACACACAAGCATGGTGGGGGTGCAATGAGTGAAATGGAGTTTATTCTGTAAAATTACAGGCCGTAGTAGGCACGCTTGCTCAGCATGTCTTTGTCCAAATACGTCACCGCCTTTTCTTCTTAGGGCTTTCAGCACAAAATTGCACAAATTACCAAGGCAGCGCATTTCACTCTAGTGAGCTTCATATTCCCCTTCTATTTATTTGGCTTCTGGATAGACGAGTCAGAGTAGCACCATCTCACTGCGGAGCTGAGTCCAACATGGTTTTTAGACGTACAGTGTGAGCAGGTAGATCACATCAGAGCAAAACCTGCGGTTTCGTCGCGCAGTGTGAGCTGCAGCTTTGTGCAACGATTGAAAAAAATCGCAGAGTCTACGCCCGGCTTAACCCTGTATAGGGAACTTAGTGAAATACTTTGAAAATAAAAATTTCCAGCCAATAGTGTTATTGGAATCCAGGACAAGAGCTTATTACCTTTGTAACATTCAAAAAATATGGATAAGGAAAGCTAACTTTCCCGAATATATTAAGAAAAATAACAAAAGTGCTTCTATAAGATATTAATTTAAAAAACACTGAGAGTGAAAGAATAACTTTTTTTTTAACAACATAACATTAGAGGTATTAATGCTGATAATGGCACGTACATTTTTTAGTTTATAAAGCTAAATGTAATTGTTAACTAGGCTTATTAACTTCTTAACTTTACTTTTTCACTTTTCAATTAGCTTTTTACCTTTTTTTCTTGACTTGTTAACTTAATTTTTCAACTTAATTTACAGTAGGTAATATCCCACTGAAGGGCTCATTCATTTGGTCAAATGCCAAAATAAGATGTACAGCCATGTAGCAGTTTATTTGCTGAATGGCTGGATATAGATCTGGTGCTTCTAGACGCTATTTGTATGGGGTATGCAAGGGATCAAATACGCCAACTTGCCTTATAAAGGGTTAAACTGGCTGCATCTCAGCAAAAAAGAAAAGCAATTGTACTACTCGGATGAATTCAGTTTGCAGGAGTTAATTATGTATATTACACTTCTACTATTTGTTTTATGTCCTATAACGTCTCTTGCAGGGCTTTGTAGGAAAATCGCTAACTTTTGAGAGTCTAATTTTTCTGATTACAAGACCAATAATAATTTTTTGTTTTAGCATAGCGGTCTTTTTAGTCTCTGTTCCCAGGACTGGCATTTTAAATCTTCTCCAGACACATTTGGGAGTTGAAACATTTCATATGCAGACGGTAAACAGAAACCTGATAGGCGGCCATTGTGCCTGCCAGACACCGTCATGGTTGTCTAACAATACATTAATTCCCAAAAGGACACATGAGCTTTTTTTTTTTCCTTTCTTTACTGCACTCCTCTGTGGGAGTGAGACATCAGCTCATTTGTTACTGAGCTGCACTCTTTGTTAGAGTGCCTCGGGGCTCTTTAACAGAAAAGACACTTACCATTATGAGGGATTGAACTTGGACCTGCTCTAATCGCTACATCTCTGCTCTGCCTCTTGGCCAATTTAAGCGCCGGCGTTTGCAGCGCAGAGAGGGCTGAGTTGGAATGCAATTTGCTTTTCTCCATCTTCTCTCTGCTTTATATTCAGCTTCTCTTTTTGCAGTCACTTCCCATTCTTTTCCAATCAGTGCCTGGTTTTCATGCAGCCGATAACTGCAGGCTCTCAGAGTTCTCTGTGCGGAGGTGATAACTCATGAACCTTTGCTCTGCGAGGGTGTTTAATTGTGCCACTAGCTTCTCCTAACAGCCTGCTAATTCCAGCACATCCACCGTTTAAGCTGGCACGTCGCTCAAAGCTACAGCAGGAGTGCACTGGAGTCAGATTAAGGAGGGATTTAGATTGAACAGATTATTTGGAGGAGGAAATGCTCTTGGTGGTGTTTTTTATAGCAACGGTGGGATCCGGCCATCGCCTGCAGGCGCTTTTTTTGCAGCTCCTTCTCCTCACTCTGCTGTCTGAGAAAGAGCGGCTCAGTCAGCGGCACAGTCGTGGATAAATGGGCCAAATTAAACTTAATGGCTTGATTGACAGCTGGAACGGCATTAGTCCCAGCTGAGTATGAAGAATGGCGTCAGTCAGAGAGTTCAAGCAGCTTGCCATCAAATCTTAAATGGCTTGCTCATGATTTTAATAGTTAACCATATATTTCAATCACAAGTCTTGTTTTTTTTTACCTCACCTTGCCGTTTTTACCGTCTGCTGAATCTGATATATATGTCACCTGACAGATGGATGAGGACATGGATGCTAATGAAGTAGAAAGTGGCCTCTTTGTGCTGTGCTACAGTATGTCAGGGCCAACCCACTGACAGGCCACAGCTGTCCTCTGGGGGTCTGTATTTACCCACCGATCTGCTATAAGTGGTCCTGACAGCTCAGGCTCTTTGTATCTCCTCCACTTTCCTTTGGATGTGTAAAGAAATCTGATCCTTGGCCATCTTAGATGGCCATCTGTTGACATGGAGTCCCAGTGTTGATGGTTTGAGACAGTTCATCACATGTCCCTTTGATTTGATGCTTGACTCTATCACAGGCCCACATCAACTGGTATTTTGACCTCTGGCTCTGGAGTTACCCTGGGAGGGTAGTCTGACTCTCAGACTCTCAGCAGTATTTTTGAAGCGTGTTTGCTCCATGCCGCTGTGCCATCTGGACCTGCAGAGAGCAGCCACGAGCCAAGCTGCCGTTTCCAACTGGAGGAATTAGGTCAGAAATTAATTTCCCATCACTCTGCTCTTCAAAAGCCTCACGCTAATGCCGTGTACAATTGACAGGTCCAACAGTGATGATGAATGAACCTGGTGGTGAGTAATATCAGCTCTGCAGAGTTAATAGAAAATCCGTGGGCCTCATATTGCTGCTGTGTGGATTTGAATATTAGGTTTTGATGAGATGTTGAAGAGCATCTTAGCTCTGGGAAGAAGCCCACCCCTGATCTGAGACTTCTGACTCACATATGATGCCTTGAAAAAGTATTCACATCCTTTTAATTTGTTTTCAAGTGAAAAACTTCATTGTGTTTTTTTTTTCTGGTATCCTTGAGTCTGTTGTGGCGGCTTCTTTACCAGCAGTAAGAGCTACAAATCTTTTAGTAATTTGCTCTCCATCTCTGCTGCTGCATCAGTCCACAGTCTGAATTGTTGTCCCTGATTCTCCCCTTTTGATCCAGTCCTTTTAATGTTGTTCTCCTAATGGGGATAAAATTTCTGCCACAGTCTAAACTCCATTGCAGGTTTTTCCTCTTGGTTTGCTACTGTGTATTTAGCTCTGTCCATCTCCGCTTCAGTCAGATCCCCTGTCTTTGCTAAACAAAAGTCATCCTCATAGCACAATGTTGCTCTATAGACATTAGGTGTTGATGATCTCAGTTTAAGTTTCATCTGGTGATAGGACCTTCCTCCTCTTCCTTGCAGGTATTTGGGGAGTTGCGGCCTAGTGGTTTGGGCATAAACCTTGGAATTCTGAGCGTCTGAGTAGGGATTGGAATCGAAAACCGGTTCCTGTTTAGAACCGGTTCTGTGTGTTCCAATTCCATGGCACCGTTTGGCAGCTTGCTGAACGGTTCTCTTAACAGTTCCAGGCAGCACCACAGCCCTTTTTTACGCAAGTTACGCACACGGCATTCAGTAAGCAAGTACGAGGTGACCAGGCATAAGTCTAGAAAAGCAAAACAAAACAAAAATGCCGTCCCATCGGGTAAACCGATCGAATGTTTGGATGTAAAGTGGCAATGACATCCTCGGGAGGAAATACATCCAACATGCAGGAACCACTGCGCACACAATATCGCATACATTTTAACGAATGCCGTGTTTTTAATGCTTCCGGACAGAAGCTAAAGTTATGACCAGCATGGAAGGCAACTCTGGTGGTAACTAGCTAGTTTTATATCACTGGCTGTGCTTAATGTGGTTCCTAGTAAATCAGATGCCATTTCTGGAAATAAACCCATTTCCTTCCTCTCTTTGGGGTTATTAAACATGCTACGAAGTTGCTTCGCAGTTCAGGGAGCGAGAGAAAGATGACGCTCGTTAATTTAAATCAGGAGGAGATGAGTTTATTTCCTAAAATGGTACAGTAATGCTTTTTCATTAAACAGATGCCTTCACCATTAGATTTAGATGACTGTGAGGAGACTGGCTGGCTCAGAGGCTGGCAGCTCCCGTTCACTGCCTTCTGTTTTTGCTGAGGCAGGTAGAAATAGAATGACACAGGCGAAGGTAGACGAATGTCACCGTGCACAAATTTATCGTTTCATAGAATCGATAAGAGAATCGACTACTACTCTTGGTCTCTGTGCAAGACCCTTAACCCCACACTGCTCCCCGGGCGCCCCACGATGGCCCAC